TTTAAAATCCGCAACACTGAAATCACTTTTTAAGAAAGATACTGCCTTGCAAAATTTTTCATGGCCGGCACCATCGCTCACTTGGTTAATCCTCCGCCTGCGGCACCGGCATCCCATATGGGTACCAGGTCCTAGTCCTGGTTGCTCCTCAATCAGTCCAGCTCTCTAATGTAGCCTGGGAAGGCAGTGGAGGATGGCCCAAGTGCTTGGGTGCCTGCACCCGCATGGGAGACCAGTAAGAAGCACCTGGCTCCTGGCTTCAGATCGGCGCAGTGCCGGCCATGGCGGCCGTTTGGGGGGTGAACCAACAGAAGACCTTTCTTTCTCTCTCTCTCTCACTGTCTAACTCTATCTGTAAAAAAAAAAAAAAAAAAAAAAAAAAAAAAAAACCCAAAACTGCCTTGCAAAATTTTCCAAAAATCTGAGAAACAGCAATCACTTTTATGTATACTAATAATCAATAGAAAGTCCTAAGACTTTACAAACAGTGATTTATTTTAACCCGGAGATCACTGATTTCAACTTCCTTAGTCACTTAACTGGACATATAGGGTCTTCAAGTCAGTGTAAACCCACAGCGGTGTACTTACCTTCCCTGAGTTCCTCCCCATCCTCATTGTCGCCGATGGTTATATGCCAGTGTACAGCACCTTTCTTATAGCTTACCAAGCATTTGAGAGTCATACAAGGGAAATAAGAGATTTCTATGGGGCCAGTGTTGTGGCTTAATGGGTTCGGCCACCACCTGAGATGCTGGCATTCCACATGGGTACTCGTTTGAGACCCAGCTGCTCTACTTCTGATCCAGCTCCCTGCTAATGTGCCTGGGAAAGCAGCAGCAGATGGCCCAAGTCCTGGGTCCCTGCACACATGAGGGAGACCTGGATGAAGCTCCCTGGCTCCTGGCTTTGGCCTGGCCCAGCCCCAAGCATTGTGGCCATTTGGGGAATGAACCAGCAGGTTCAATACCTCTCTCTCTATTTCTTCCTCTCTCTCTAATTCTGCCTTTCAAATACATTAAATAAAAAAAAAGAAATAAGCTACTAGAGGCACTCCGTTTCTCTGGTTTTTCATATGACACAAACATGTTCCAAGTTTTGTTTAAGCTCGTTGACACTTTGAACATTCATTTTGATCACTTTTGAGCATTAGCACACTGGTATAAAATCACCAGGACTGCCACTTAGTGCTTACAGTGTGGAGGAATCATCCATGACATTTTGTCACCTTTTATATTAACAATAAAATGTTGAAGAATGTTAAATACAGCACCAGCATTACACTTGTGTTTCCTATTTGCCTACAGTTATGTCCCAATATTCTTACCTGTAAGTCAATTGTCATTTTATAAGTAGGCCATATAAGGATTTTATAAAATGTGGCCGGAAGTAAGATTTTAGGTTCATTAAATACCATAAGGATCCATGGAACACCTATGATGTGCTGGCACTGGGCTTTCCCAGGGGATTCAGTGGTGAGCAAGACAGCAAACGTGTCTGCTTGAGATCCCTGCCCTTTGAGTCTTCACATTGAGTTCAGCTGAAGAAATTGCCACCCGGTGATGCTGGCCCATGTGTTGCCCAGTCCTTCTCGACTCTGAGAGCTCTCATATCACCAGGCTAGGTATTCTGAGTCTTTGTCAAGCCACTTGTTTTCCCGCTTGAATTTTATATTTTTGCTTGCTACTTTGAAATACGTCTTTACATGAATCTCTCTGACAACAGGTATTGCTTCCAAGTATCCATTCACATTAGCTTAGGAAAATGGCAGTTTTCAGTTCCAGAATGTGTACTGGAGCAGATGGGGATGCCGCCTTTCCCACAGGCAAATAGGACATTGCTTGGTGGCTGTCCTGGGGCGTCATATGGAACTCTGCTCAACGGGTTCCTCAGGACGCACCCAGCCCAGGCACCTGGTCACTTCTCAGCTCCAGAGAGCCAGGCAGACAGACACGCCCATGCTCGTCCTCTGTTCACTTCATTCAGCAGCTCTTTCCAGGCCCCCTGTGGGCCTGTGGGAAAAAAGCTAATTATCAGCTCTCTGTGGAGACCTGCCGTGTTGCCTGAACTGCTTGATGCAGGAAGGGAGGTAGAAGAATGGTGTGGGCCTGAGTGGATTTACAATCAAGCCACATCTTCCCAGAACTTTCTGGTACATTTTTTAAAAAGGGGGAATATGTTTATGTAAATTCCTTGTTTAAATTATATGCACTGAATCTCATGCCTCTTAAAATATTAGCATAACCATCCCATCTGTGGCATGATCAGGATACGATGACTACCTCTTCTGGGGTCTTCCTCTGAGATGATCACACTGGAATGATGACTCCCAGGTCTCCTTTTCTGTTTCTCACTCCTCTTCCTCTCACCAGGAAATCTCATTCATAACTTTCTTTTTCTATTTAACTTGTACTTATTGAATCCCTATTAAGTGGTAAATGTGGTTCATGTCTGTGGGGAGCTTTCAGTTGACCATTAGCAGCAGGTAAGAAATGTATACACACATTTATAAAGTCCAAACTACCCATGAATGCAGTGAAAAATAAGCAGATGATATATTTTCCCATGGATATGTGAGTAATCAAGCTAAGGGGCTAGAGACAGGGAGAGAGATCTTCTGTCTGCTGGTTCACTCTCCAAGTGGACAAACGAGCCAGGGCTGGGCCAGGCCAAAGCCAGGAGCCTGGAACTCCATCTAGGTCTTCCATGTGGGTGCAGAAACTGAAACTCCTTGATAATTATGAATCTTATTAAATATTAGATAAATATCAAGGACCAACTAAAGTATTTCTCCAGCATGAACTTTTCCCCTTGATCTCTAAAGTCCACACCAGTACTATATAACCTACTCGATATCTCTCCCTAAGTATTCAAAAGGCATTTCAACTTCGCATGCCTTAAACAGACTTACCATGTCCCCCAAGAACTCCTCTTGAGATCTTCTCACTTAAAAAAAGAGGCATGTAAAATTGTATGTATGTATCATGTATTGCATGATGTTTAGAAGTATAGGCGCACTGGAGTCTGACTAAATCAAGCTAGTTAGCACATATGTTCTTAGCTCACGGAGTGATCATTTTTGGGGTAAGAACACTTTGTATGCTCAGCATTTATCAAGAGCCTGTTCTGCCCTAGAGGTGTCATTTGAACCGTAGTTCCCTTCAGCCTGTTCATCTCACCTGGCTGAAATTTTGCCTCCTTTGACCTTTACCTCCCTAACTCCTGTAACCAACCCAGCCTCTCATAACCACCATTCTACTCCATCTCTACAAGATCAACTTCTTAGGTTGCACTCATGAGTGAGAGATCATACAGTATTTGTCTTTCTGTGCCTGTCCTATTTCACATAATGTGGCATCCCCCAGGTTTATCCTTCTGTCACAGATGACAAAATTTCCTCTGTCATACAACTCAAGTATTCTCTTCTACATATGTACCATCTTTTCTTTATTCATCAGCTAGATGGACTTAGGTTGGTAACTATCTTAGATATTGTAAATAAAAGTGAAATAAACATGGTGGTGTAGCTATCTCTTCAACATAATGATTTCATTTTCTTTAGACATATACTCAGTAGTGGGACAGCTGGAACATATGGTAGTTCTAGCTTTAATTTTAAAAACTTGCATTTAGGGACTGGCCTTGTGTCATATTGGGTAAAGCTGCCAGCTATGATGCTGGCACCCCATATGGGTGTCCATTTGTGTCCTGTCTGCTCCACTTCCAATCTAGCTTTCTGCTGATGGCCTGGGAAAGCAGCAAAAGATGACCCAAGTCCCTGCCACCCAAGTGGGAGATCCAGATGAAGCTCCTGGCTCCTGGCTTTGGCCTGGCCCAACTATGGCATTTGAGGCCATCTGTGGAGTCTACCAGTGGATAGAAAGTCTCTCTGTAACTCTGCCTTTCAAATAAATAAATAAATCTTAATTTTTTCTTCTTTAGCTATGCGAGAAGCAAGGAGACAGACATACTCAGAGGACTCCCATCTGCAGTGATGAGGATGGCTTAATCAGAAGCCGAAACTCACTGTAAGTGTCCCACACGAGCAGCAGGAACCAAATCACTTGAACTATTACTGCTCCTTTGCATGCAGGGTCTGCATTAGCAGAACATGGAATCAGGAGCTGGAACAGGAATTAAATTCTGGCACTCCAGCATGGGATTCAGGCATCTTCACCACTGGACCAAATCTCATTCCATAGGTTTAATTTTTTGAGCTATCTTCATACTGCTTTCCATGCAGACTGTACTAATTTAAAATTCTAACAGCAGTGGGGAAAGGTTCCCATTTCTTCACATCCTTTCCAAAACTTAACATTTCTGTGTTTTTATAATTACTTTGATAATGGCCATTTTGAAAAGTGTTAAATGATATTTCATTGTGTTTTTAATTTGCATTTCCCCAATGGTTAGTAATAATAAGCATCTTTTCTTAGACCTGTTGACCTTTTTATATCGTCTTTTGAGAAATGTTTATCCTGGTCCTTTGCCATTTTTTAATCAAGTAACTTATATTTTTGTTATTGAGTTGGCTGATACTCTTATATATTTTGAATATTAATCTCTTATCCATTTGTTAACAATCTCAATGTTTTCATCTGCTGAGTATAGAGGAGGATATTATTTTTTATTTTTTAACTTTTATTTAATAAATATAAATTTCCAAATACAACTTTTGAAGTATTGCAGCTTTTTCCCCCATAATGTCCCTCCCACCCGCAACCATCCCACTCCCACTCCCTCTCCCAACCCATTCTTCATTACAATTCATTTTCAATTTTCTTTATGTACAGAATATCAATTTAGTATTTACTAAGTAAAGATTTCAAGAGTTTGCACCCACACAGACACAGAAAGTATAGAATTCTGCTTTAGTAGCAGTTTTACTGTTAATTCACATATAGTACAACACATTAAGGACAGAGATCTTACATGGGGAGTAAGTGCACAGTGACATCCATTGTTGATTTAACAATTGACACTCTTATTTATGAGGTCAGTAATCACCTGAGGCACTTGTCATGAGCTGCCAAGGCTATGGAAGCCTCTTGAGTTCACCAGCTCCGATCTTGTTTAGACAAGGCCATATTCAAAATGGAAGTTCTCTCCTCCCTGCAGAGAAAGGTACTGCCTTCTTTGATGGCTCGTTCTTCCCACTGGGATCTCACTCAAAGAGATCTTTCATTTAGGTCATCATTTTTTTTTGCCACAGTGTCATGGGCTTTTTAGCCAGATCCAAATGCCTTAAGGGCTGATTCTGAGGCTGGAGTGCTGTTGTAGGGCACTTGCTATTCTATGAGTCTGCTGTGTATCCTGCTTCCCATGTAGGAACATTTTTTTCCTTTTTAATTCTATCAATTATTATTAGCAGGCACTGGTCTTATTTATGTAATCCCTTTGACACTTAATCCTATCTTTTTGATAAATTATGAACTTAAACTGATCACTTTAACAAGTAAGATGGCATTGCTACATGCCATCTTGATGGGATTGAATTGGAATCCCCTGGCACATTTCTAGCTCTACCATTAGAGGTAATTCTAAGTGAGCATGTGCTGAACTGTACATCTCTTCCCTCTCTTATATTTAACAGGGATCACTTTTAAGTTAAATTTAAATGACTAAGAATAATTGTGTGTTAATTAAAGAGTTCAACCAATAGTATTAAGTAGAACAAAAAAGTACTAAAAGGAATAAAATAGTAAGTTATTCCTCAACAGGACAAGGGTTGATCAAGACATGGTTTCTCATAGTGTCCATTTCACTTCAACAGGTTTCCTTTTAGGTGCTCAGTTAGTTGTCACCAGTCAGGGAGAACATATGATATTTGTCCCTTTGGGACTGGCTTATTTCACTCAGCATGTTTTCCAGATTCCTCCATTTTGTTGCAAATGACCAGATTTCATTGTTTTTTACTGCTGTATAGTATTCTATAGAGTACATATCCCATAATTACTTTATCCAGTCTTCTGTTGATGGACATTTAGGTTAATTCCATGTCTTAGCTACTGTGAATTGAGCTGTAATAAACATTAAGGTGCAGATGGCACTTTTATTTGCCAATTTAATTCCTTTTGGGTAAATTCCAAAGAGTGGGATGGTTGGGTTGTATGGTAGGACTATATTCAAGTTTCTGAGCAATCTCCAAACTGACTTCCATAGCGGTTTTACCAGTTTGCATTCCCACCAACAGTGGGTTAGTGTCCTTTTTTCCCCACATCCTCGCCAGCATCTATTGTTGGTAGATTTCTGTATGTGAGCCATTCTAACCAGGGTGAGGTGACACCTCACTGTGGTTTTGATTTGCATTTCCCTGATGGCTAGTGATCCTGAACATTTTTTCATGTGTCTGTTGGCCATTTGGATTTCTTCTTTTGAAAAATGTCTGTTGAGGTCCTTGGCCCATCTCTTAAGTAGGTTGTTTGTTTTGTTGTTGTGGAGTTTCTTGATCTCTTTGTAGATTCTGGTTATCCACCCTTTATCTGTTGCATAGTTTGCAAATATTTTTCCCATTCTGCTGGTTGCCTCTTCACTTTTGACTATTTCCTTTGCAGTACAGAAACTTCTCAATCTGATGTAATCCCAATTGTCAATTTTGGCTTTGACTGCCTGTACCTCTGGTGTCTTTTCCAAGAAATCTTTGCCTGTGTCTATATTTTGCAGGGTTTCTCCAATGTTCTCTAATAATTTCATGGTGTTGGGTCATAGATTTAGGTCTTTAATCCATGTTGAGTGGATTTTTGTGTGAGGTGTAAGGTAGAGGTCTTGTTTCATGCTTCTGCATGTAGAAATCCAGTTTTCCCAGCACCATTTAGTGAATAGACTATCCTTACTCCAGGAATTGGTTTTAGATCCTTGATCAAATATAAGTTGGTTGTAGATGTTTGGGTTGATTTCTGGTGTTTCTATTCTGTTCCATTGGTGTATCCATCTGTTTCTGTACCAGTACCATGCTGTTTTGATAACAATTGCCCTGTAGAATGTCCTGAAAACTGGTATTGTGATGCCTCCGGCTTTGTTTTTGTAGTACAAGATTGCTTTAGCTATTTGAGATCTCCTATGTCTCCATATGAATTTCAGCATCATTTTTTCCAGATCTGAGAAGAATGTCTTTGGTATTTTTATTGGTATTGCATTGAATGTGTAAATTGCTTTTTGGAGAATGGACATTTTGATGATTTTGATTCTTTCAATTCATGAGCATGGAAGATTTTTCCATTTTTTGTTATCCGTTTCTATTACTTTCTTTAAGATTTTGTATTTCTCATTGTAGAGATCTTTAACGTCCTTGGTTAAGTTTATTCCAAGGTATTTGATTGTTTTTGTAGCTATTGTGAATGGGATTGATCTTAGCAGTTCTTTCTCAGCCATGGCATTGCCTGTGTATACAAAGGCTGTTGATTTTTGTGCATTGGTTTTATATCCGGCTACTTTGCCGAATTCTTCTATGAGTTCCAATAGTCTCTTAGTAGAGTTCTTTGGATCGCCTAAGTAAAGAATCATATCATGTGCAAAGAGGGATCATTTGAGTTCTTCCTTCCCAATTTGTATCCCTTTAATTTCTTTTTCTTGCCTAATGGCTTTGGCTAAAACTTCCAGAACTATATTGAATAGCAGTGGTGAGAGTGGGCATCCCTGTCTGGTACCAGGTCTCAGTGGAAATGCTTCCAACTTTTCCCTATTCAATAGGATGTTGGCTGTGGGTTTTTCATAGATTGCTTTGATTGTATTGAGGAATGTTCCTTCTATACCCCATTTTTTTTTTTTTTTACAGGCAGAGTGGACAGTGAGAGAGAGAGACAGAGAGAAAGGTGTTCCTTTTTCTGTTGGTTCACCCTCCAATGGCCGCCAGAGCCGGCGCACCGGGCTGATCCGAAGGCAGGAGCCAGGTGCTTCTCCTGGTCTCCCATGGGGTGCAGGGCCCAAGCACTTGGGCCATCCTCCACTGCCTTCCCGGGCCACAGCAGAGAGCTGGCCTGGAAGAGGGGCAACCGGGACAGAATCCGGCGCCCCGACTGGGACTAGAACCCGGTGTGCTGGCGCCGCAAGGCGGAGGATTAGCCTAGTGAGCCACAGTGCCGGTCTTCTATACCCAATTTGCTTAGAGGTTTTATCATGAAAGGGTGTTGTATTTTATCAAATGCTTTCTCTGCATCTATTGAGATAATCATATGGTTTTATTTTGCAGTTTGTTAACGTGATGTATCACATTGATTTGCGAATGTTGAACCATCCCTGCATACCAGGGGTAAGTACCACTTGGTCTGGGTGGATGATCTTTCTGATGTGTTGTTGCATTCCATTGGCCAGAATTTCATTGTGGACTTTTGTTTCTATGTTCATCTGGGAAATTGGTCTGTAATTCTCTTTCTCTGCTGCATCTTTTTCAGGTTTAGGAATTAAGGTGATGATGGATTCATAGAAAGAACTTAAGAGGATTCCCTCTTTTTCAGTTGTTCTGAATAGTTTGAGAAGAATTGGAGTTAGTTCTTCTTTAAATGTCTGGTAGAATTCAGAAGTGAATCCATCTGGACCTGGGCTTTTCTTTGTTGGGAAGCCTTTATTACTGATTCAATTTCTGATTCGGTTTAGGTCTGCTTAGGTTTTCTGTGTCTTCGTGGCTCAATTTAGGTAGGATGGAGGAGGATTTTAACGGCAGGAGTACACAGTCTATGGACAGTTAAGAATAAAAACAAGAGAGTTTGTGTGTATGTGTGTTTATGTGTGTGTGTGTGTGTGTGTGTGTGTGTTGAGGGAAAGGGAAGTAGAAAGTGGAATCAGAAAATATATCTCGCCTCTCACTCATTTTTAGTAAAATAAATTATGTAAAAATTTAAAATTTCATATTTTATGTTCTACAGCTTCATATTTTCAGGTTTTCAAATTCATTTTACTTTTTGAAATACCAATATTATGCTATGGCTTTATTAAAAGATCGCGTCAAAAGCATACCTGATTTTCTAACAAGGCACAAAAGCTAAATGAGTGAATGAGTGGAAATACACAGAAGTGAACAATGAGTCATCTTTCCTTCTGTGCATCATAAAATCATATTTGTAACTATGATGAAGGGAAGCTATCCGGTGCTAATACTGAAGTCCTGTATCTATGCAGTACAGCTTTAACCTGGGCCCAGTGCTATGGCATAGCATGTAAAAGCTGCTGCCTGCAGTGCCAGCATCCCACATGGGCGTCAGTTTGAGTCCCCACTGCTCCACCTCCAAGTCAGCTCCCTGCTTATGTACCTAAGAAAGCAGTGGAAATTGGCCCAAGTACTTGGTCCCCTGTACCCATGTGGGAGACCTGGAGGAAGTTCCTGTCTCCTGGCTTTGGATTGGCCAAGCTCTGGCAGTTGTGGCCAGATGGAGGATTTCTCTGTCTCTCTCTCTCTCTTTCCCCCTTCCCTCCCTCCTCTACTCTACCCCCCCTTCCTTCTCTCTTTCCCCTCTCCCTCTCTCCCACTCTCTCTCTCTCTCTCTCTCTCTCTCTCTTTTTTTTTGATAGGCAGAGTGGACAGTGAGAGAGAGAGAGACAGAGAGAAAGGTCTTCCTTTTCCCTTGGTTCACCTCTCAATGGCCGCTGCGGCCGGTGTACCGCGCAGATCTGAAGCCAGGAGCCAGGTGCTTCTCCTGGTCTCCCATGCAGGTGCAGGGCCCAAGCACTTGGGCCACCCTCCACTGTACTCCCTGGCCACAGCAGAGTGCTGGCCTGGAAGAGGGGCAACTGGGACAGAATCCGGTGCCCCGACCAGGACTAGAACCTGGTGTGCCGGTGCCGCAGGCGGAGGATTAGCCTAGTGAGCCGCAGCGCTGGCCCCCTCTCTTTTCTTCTCTCTTTCTCCCCCTTCCCTGTCTGCTCCTCCTCCTCTCTCTCTCTCCCCCCTTTTCCCTCTATCTTTCTCCCTCTCATCCCCTGTAACTCTACCTTTCATAAATAAATTTTAAAAAGTTCCTGCCTTGACATCACATGCTATTTACCTCTAGAGTAATCTCAAAAATATTAGTAAACAGAAATATCCACTACTTCTGGAAAGAAGGAAGAAGCAGCTCAAATTGGAATGGTCATTAACCAGGAAAATACATGTAACCACTGTGTCCTGCATGCTGCTTTCTTGTAACAGGTTTTTTATTCTTGCCCTGGAATGGAAATGCTAAATTTTAGACTGCAGTGTGATTGGTGTACAGTAGATCAGAGAGGCCAGATGGCAAGTACTCAGCACAAGGTAAAAACAGGAGCAAAACAACAGCCCAGGCCAGGAGACTTTGTCCTCTCAAACAGACAAGAGGGAATAGAACAGCAAGGGGTTGTATCCACATGATAATTCAGAGCACAGCAGAAAATAGCAGGTCCAAAACATGATTAAAAATGCATGTGCCCAGCGGGAAGAAGCTTGGAAAATGGGAAAGATGATGAAGAGTTCATGAAGATCAGTGTGTTCCATACAAGGCACCACTCCACCAGTTGAACTCAGGCTACAGAGACGCTGATACGTTACTGAGGAAAATAAATTGTGTCCTTATCCTTAAATGTTATCACAGCTGGTAATAACTGGATCTTGAAAATGAAATTCTGGTGATGAAATGTTGATCACTGGAGTGCTGCCTATTTTCTACTCCCCAGAGCAGTTTTACGTAGAATACAGAGCCTCACTCTAGTGCATTTGGGAAGGTGGTCTGAGGCCATGGAGACATCCCTGAAGGGTGTATATTAAGCTGATCGGAGCTGCCTAACCAGATATCCCACCGTAAACAGATAGAAAGGAGCCTGTGATATGGCTTGTTAGTCTAAGTAGGAATTTTGAAAACTGTTTTTGGTGATTGTATATGGAGTCCTACATTTGTGACAGACTCAAGAGACCTCTCTTGGGCAAGATCTTGTGTTTTGCATTTCCCAGTAAATCTCTAGCATTCCTAATATAGGCTGTGGTAAGTTTTCAACAAGTCTTAGCCATGTAAACTCTACCTTCTAAATGACTTTAGCTTCTGCTTGAAGCTGATAAGGAAATCCTATGGCCGGCGCCGCAGCTCACTAGGCTAATCCTCCGCCTTGCAGTGCCGGCACACCGGGTTCTAGTCCAGGTCGGGGCACCGAATTCTGTCCTGGTTGCCCCTCTTCCAGGCCAGCTCTCTGCTGTGGCCAGGAAGGCAGTGGAGGATGGCCCAAGTGCTTGGGCCCTGCACCCCATGGGAGACCAGGAGAAGCACCTGGCTCCTGCCTTCGGATCAGCGCGGTGCGCTGGCCACAGCGCACTGGCCGCGGCAGCCATTGGAGGGTGAACCAATGGCAAAAGGAAGGCCTTTCTCTCTGTCTCTCTCTCTCATTGTCCACTCTGCCTGCCAAAAAAAAAAAAAAAAAAGGAAATCCTATGGATTTAGTTCTAGTTGCAGTTACAGATTTGCTTGGTGATTTTTGTTTGTTTGTTTTAGAAAGAAGGAGACAGAGATGGGTGGAGAAGAGGAAGCACCCCCTCCTGCTCTTGCAGTCCCAAAATATTGGGAGTGGGGCCAGGCTAAAGCAGGGAGCCAGGAATCCAATCCAATTCTCACATGTGGGTTGGGGACCCCATTCCTTGAGTCATCACCTCTGCTTCTTAGAGGGCCCATTGGCCAGAAGCTGGAATTGGGTGTAAAGCAGGACTCAAACCCAGGTACTCAGATATGAAATGTGGGCATCCCAATCAGCATCTTAACCAGTAGGCCAATGCCTGCTCCATGATTCGAATATCTTTAGGAAGCATTCCTATGTTTTGGACTATGGGAAAAGAGTGCTAAATAGAACAGAGAACTTTCCAGCTTATCTGGAACTTTCGATCTATTGCAGAATATAGGAATTTGAATATATAACTACATCATGCAGTTTGTAAGTGTTCTGTGTGGGGAATTAAACATAGAGGAGAGAGCAGGGCCCAGGGGAGTGGGAACTGACCTAGAAATAGGTGAAGGGGGAAAGAAAGGGAGGCTTCCAAGTGGTGGTGATTTATTGATGGTGATGTAGAGAAGGATTCTTGTTTGCAGTGTCTGCTGGAGAAAGATATGTCATGTAAAACAGCCTAGAGGCTACTGGAGAATTTGAAGACTTGAAATGAGTCAAACTTTGAGAGGTTATTTTTGTTTTATTTTGTTTTGTTTCATTGTTTGTCTTGGCATGGTGAGAGATGAAATAGCAAAAGAGAACAGAGATGTGGCCATTTTATTTTTGTCATCTTCTTTGACCTCCTTTACAACTATTGGATTAAGTGGTTTGGTTATGTTTCAACTGGTATAGAAACTGAAGCTGGTATCTCAGTGTCGTAATCATTATACTTGGTCAAGTTACAGTGTCGTGTTGTCTTCTCTCACTTGTCTTTCAGAGAAAGATAAATATCTGATAGTGACATACTTAAATTCTTTATTTGCCAATGAAGTCCCAAAAAACTGACTGCAATTTATGAGAGCTTAAAAAAATATAGTTAAGTCACTCATGTGTAATGGTCTTAGAAAACGATTGGATTTTGAATGTGTTAAGTGACAGCATTTTATTGTAGTACAAAATAGTATGCAAGGCAAATTCATGGTCAGTCCTTGAGTTGGAAAAGACTTTTCAGAGCATAACCTGTAATTTGCATTTGATCTTGTAATTCTAGGATGAAGTAATTACAGCATGTTGTGCAAAATCGGGGCTGAAGAATAATTTCATCTTATGAACTAGAAATGTGAAGAAAAGAATGAGATGTCAGTGAAAGCTACTCTGAGAAAGTCAGTGAGAAGTTGGCATGAAAAACAAAGTACTTTACATCAGAGGTAGATTTCAGTTTGAAGATGTCAGATTTCAGACATGAGGGGGAGGAAATGAGGAGCGGTAAAAGTTTTATATATAATCTTATGATCTGAAATAGAAAACATAGTTTCTTAACTTGACTCTATTAATCTACATGAACAAACCTTGTGTACTTATTTTACAATATTTTAATCTCTAAAGGAAGAAAATGATAATCTTGACTCAGGGAAATTTTGGGACTCTAAAAGATATAAGCTGGGAATGTTTCTTAACAGAAAGTATTATACAAATAACATTTGAAAGGGATTAGAACTTGAATGAAGGATAGTGCAGAGAACAATCACCCTGTATCTGAACCAAAAAGACATAAATGGAAAGTAAGATTTGTCTAAAAGAGTCTTAGAAGTTACCTTCTCGGCCGGCGCCGCGGCTCACTAGGCTAATCCTCCGCCTTGCGGCGCCGGCACACCGGGTTCTAGTCCCAGTTGGGGCGCCGGATTCTGTCCTGGTTGCCCCTCTTCCAGGCCAGCTCTCTGCTGTGGCCAGGGACTGGGAGTAGATGCCAGAACACTGTCCCTCAAAGACGATCCAGGAAGTCAAATCTCCGCAGCTGCCAGCGTGCGAGTTAGACAGCACCTGCTTCCTCACAAGCAGAGGGGACTGAAAACCTAGAGCATCCTGGGCCACTCATCTCCTGCTGCTGTGATGACATTGAAGATTTCGCTATGACACGATCTTTTTGTAAAAAAAAATATTTTATTTGAAAGGCAGAGTTACAGAGAGAGAGAGAGAGGGAGAGAGAGGGAATGGATGAATCTTTCATCTGCTGGTACACTCCCCAGATGGCTGCAATGGCCAGAGCTGGTCTGATCCAAAGTCAGGAGCCTGGAGCTTCATCCTGGTCTCTCTTGTGGGTGCAGGGCCCCAAGCACTTGGCTGTCTTCCACTGCTTTCCCAGGCCACAGCAGAGAGCTGGAGCAGAAGTGGCGTACCAGGTCATGAACTGGCGCCCTCATGAGATGCCGGCAGGTGGCAGTTTTATCCACTCTGCCACAGCACCGGCCTCAGCTGTGACACCATCTTGATGAGAATTAAAGTAGATGAGAGTGCTTCAAAGTCAGAAGGTTACCTGAAAGTGACTAAATATTTGCAAACAGATTTTTATATTTGTGGAGAAGATAATATCATATATTTCAATTTAAACTGTGCTTAACATTGCCCCTTAAAGCCCAGCAAGGTGGAAAATTATGATTAAGTTAGAATTACTTAAAAATTAAACTTTATACGTGTAAAAGTAATAGTATGAGTCAATTTGGACTGCTGCTATGTTTTTTGCTTCAGTATGTAAATACCTTTTGACTATGTGAACATAATAAAAATGCAAGTATAAAATAAACATTTTCCAAGACACGCCAGAACTTACAAATTCAACGGCTGACATCTCTACAGAGCAGCGACTTACTTGGATTTGTTTGTAAGGACATTTTGTAGCTGTCATAAGGGGCACAGTTCCGTCCTGTTTTGGCAATACCTTGAACTTCTCCCAGTGTCCTTTCATTCAACATAACTGTTTATCTACTTGTTTCTGCAGCCATGCATATTTTTAGCTTGAAGGGGAGAATTAGTGCTATCCCATCTGTCAACTAACAGTCAGGAAAAACAACAAGCTCTACTGGGAAGCTTTGGGTTTGCTGTGATGGTGATGAAGTTTATCGGTAACAACACCCGCCGTACCACGGGCCTGCCATGAATCACACACAGTCTGTGCTAGGCACCATGCAGAATATTTGCATGCAGTCTTTACAATGGACACAGAAAACAGGGATGATTAATATTGTTTACTGCACAAGAAAACCGGAAACGCACAGACCAAGTGGCTGCTCCAGGTAGCATAGGTTATAAAAGACTTCAAAACTCATTCAAGCTGACCTCAGTGTAGGATTCTGAGAATTTAATTGTTAAATGTACTCTTCTTGGACTATCAGTGGATGCCTGAATTTGATGAATACACACGAGTTTGTGCCAGAAGCTTTGTGAGACTGATGCCGTTGTGGTTTTGCCTTCCACAAAATAAATTTCAAACAAGTATATGCCTTCATTTTCCAAGGAAATTCTGAATATTCCAGAAGGAAATTCTGTGTTTCTGTATTTTGAGGACTGTTCATGCCTGTTGCCAATAAGTTAGAATAACATAAAATGTTTTATAAGAAACTTAAATAATAATAAATGGAACTATCCTAAGAGCTGGGATTTGTATAGTGAAGACTCAGGACAGCAATATTTTAGATAAAGCAAAATAATGTATTGGGTTTTTTTAAGATTTATTTATTTATATGAAAGAGTTACACAGAAAGAGGAGAGGCAGAGAGAGAGAGGTCCTCCATCCGATGGTTCACCCTCCAGTTGGCTGCAATGGCTGGAGCTGCACCCATCTGAAGCCAGGAGCAGGAGCTTCTTCCGGGTCTCCCACCCGAGTGCAGGGGCCCAAGGTCTTGGGCCATCTTCTACTGCTTTCCCAGGCCATAGCAGAGAGCTGGATCAGAAATGGAGCAGCTGGGTCTCAAACAGGGGCCCATATGGGATGTCGGTGCATCAGGCTGGGGTGTTAACCCGCTGCGCCACTGCATCAGCCCCATGTCTTGGGTTTTGAGAAGCAAATAAGAAGACCTGATTTAAGGATCTGCTCTATGAGTTGTATTTGCTGATTTTATAACTACAGATGATGTTTGCCACTGTTTGACATTGTAAAAATGTCAAAATTTTGTTATGAAATGAGAAAATTCAAATTTATGATGTTAATCATTGCTATATATTAAAATTGTATTTGAAGAATTTTCACAGTAACCTTACAAATGCATCAAAAAGCAAGAGTTTTCGCCACACAGCAAAATTCCCTGCTCCATCCTCTTTCAAGCTACTAACTTTTGATTTATCAATTTTCTCAATTATTTAATAATTTATTTTTCTTTCTTGTTTTTTTATTTATTTGATATGTAGAGTTATAGACAGAGAGAGAGAGACAGAGAGAAAGGTCTTCCCTCCGTTGGTTCACTCCCCAAATGGCTGCCATGGCCGGCACTGCGCTGATCCGAAGCCAGGGATCAGGTGCTTCCTCCTGGCTGGGGCCCAAGCACTTGGGCCATCCTCCACTGTCTTCCCAGGCCACAGCAGAGAGCTGGACTGGAAGAGGAGCAACTGGGACTAGAACCCGGCACCCATATGGGATGCCGGCGCCGCAGGCAGAGGATTAACCAAGTGAGTCACAGTGCCGGCCCCAAAGAATTTATTTTTCAAAACCCCAAGTCCTTCACTCACCTTCCAAATTTAATTGTCACTATTTTTGCTAAACCAGGACATAATATATACTTCATAATGATATGAAGTGCAAAATTTTCTTTTGCTATTTAGATGATGTTATATAACTGTTGCTTGTTTGCTGTGTAGCCATCACTGATTTCCTCCTTTCTTGCTTGTCATTTTTTTGTCCACTGCTCAGAGGGACTGGAACGGTGAGACCATCCCATAGTGTTTTCTCTTTCATGGTTCATGTCTTTATAACACTAAGCAAATAGCTTCCTAAGAAAGGGATATATGAAAGAATTCTGTCGGTAACTACTCTCATGTCTGAAAATATTTTATTCTCAAACTTAATTGAGATATTGAGTATTAAACATCTGATTAAAATAATCTCTTATAATAGATTTTTAATAAATTGTAAAATACCCAGTATCTAGTGTTGCTGAGAATATTGATATTAATTAATTACTATAAGTAACGCTTTCCTCAAACCTTATATTTCTTTACTTTGCTTTCTCTGCCAAGGGAAAAAAAATTAAAATGCTGTGTTTACAGTTTCACAATTATCTGTTGCAGTGTTGGATTCATAGTTTTGTGGCCTCTGCCGTGCTCATTCAGTATGAAGGCATACCCTTGCAGTTTGTTCTTTACACAACCCCTATTAGGCATATGTTGGACACCCTCGAATGGCTTTCTGTTTCCTTTATCTCCCTCCTTATATTTCCCATCTGTTAGCCATTTCTGCTTACTGATTTCTGTTCTCCATTTCTGCTTACTCACCTTCAGCTATCATGTGTGAATTTATTTTCACTTTCCAATGCCTCTCCTTTGTCCCTCTCCTCCTCCCTTTCTTTTCTTTCAAATAACTTGAGTCTTTGTAGATGAGTGATGTCTTTACAGTCAAGACACATTAAGGAAGCTTTTATTTGTTTATACACCTTGTTCATATGTAGCCCATTTGTAGACTTTCCTGAAGTGGGAGGCACACATGACTTGATGTTCATAATTAACAATGAGACAGCGCAAGAGTGATCTGAGAGTAGGACGAGCTAGGGTGTGGGTTATCAATCAGATAAACGAATACTTCAGTGTCTGATTGGAAGACAGATGTGGCTGTTACAGATGGGAGTTTAAATGCAATATGTGAAGGGCTCTTCTTTCCCCCAGCACCATTTACTTCACTTCTCTTTACTTGAGTGGTAGAATTTGATTTTTTGTTATGAGAAAGGCTTTGCATTAAGGTTGGAAGGGTAGGATCTACATGTCTAGTGCCTTCTCATTCAGATTTCTGGTTTTTGCTGTCTCCTCTTCATCCTGACTTATACCTGGCCTTTCCGGAATCCTGATCTCAGAGGTTATCCATAGAGAAATATCTTGCTCTTGGCTTCCTTTCTCTGTGAGAATTTAAACTGCTCCTTCTTTTGCCTTCAACCTTTGGAGAGGACTCACCAGGCTGAAGTGGTACTTGGAATGTGCTGCAGCGTTTTGTCTCCTGGTGGCGTCCGTTTTGGTCTTTATGTTGTAGAATTATATCCTTTTACTTCATTTAATTACACTTTAGTTGTATCTTCAGAAAAAATAGAAGAAAATATGTGATCAGCTTGTCTTTTTGAACAAAAACGATCAACCCTATCCTTTTGGAAATAGTGCAAAGTTTGGTACAGGAAGAACGAGTAACTTAGGACTTTCTAAATTTCATATTATGATGGTCTAAAGTATTCTTTACCAAAAAAACAGAAGGTATGTTTTAAATGGGCAACACTGGCATCTGTATATACGGTGCCTTGTCAATAATTTGGTTTTAATAATTTTCAGCTGTTCAAAAGAAAAGAAGGAAAGAGAGATCTGGTGTTGCAATGCAGACCTGCTCCCTTCACAGTGACACCCAGAGTCAACATGAGATCCATGCATTGTCTTTTGTGATGCACACTTCACGTGGACTTTTTGATGACCCCCTTGTATGTTGTGTAATAACTACCACAATTGAATTAACATGCCCATGACACACATACACACAGGGTTACCATTTTGTATCTCTGTGTGTGTGCATGTGTGTGTGATGACTCTTGAGATCTACTCCTAGCCAATTTTGTGTGAACGAGTCAGCTTAATGAGCCAGTCACCATGATGTACGTTAAATCTCCTGTCCTTG